TACAATGAACTAAGGGGCTTCTCCTTTCTGAATCTAGCATCAGGGTCACATGACATAGGTTCATCCAATCAGATTGGTTGATCAGTGATATTTTTTGCACATTTTTAGTATATTTTTTCAATTACCATTTACATTCAATTTTTTTGCATTAGTTTCAGGTGTACATCATAGTGATTAGATAATCATGTACTTTACAAAATATTCCTCTGATATTTCCAGTACCCTCAAGTGTCTAAAAGACAGAGTGTTGCAAAAAAAAAATTGATTTATTGAGTACCAAGTTACTATGCATTTAAGGCAACTAAGTACTAAAGCAGCACAATTAACTTAATGAACTTCCCATCAACATTAATAGTTGCAGAATGAGTCAGTAGTTTGGAAGAAACATTAGAGGTAATCAAGAAACACTCCCTTAAGAAATGTTGGACTGCTGATATTCTTAATGGCACAATGATATCAGGTTGAACAAAGACAGTTACTAGGTTTTCTAAATTTAAAACTGATTCAGTCAGACTCTGAATGAGAATTTAGGAAAAACCTTAATTTACTTAGCTTATATGTACCTTTTCATGTAACCAAAGACTGACAAGATAAAAATCCACGTGTTGTTTTTAATCCTCACCTGAGGACATTTTTATTGATTTTTAGAGGGAGAGAGAGAAACATCAATGTGAGAGAGAAACATCACTCAGTTACCTCCTGTACATGCCCTGACTGGAAGTCGAACTTACAACCTATTGGTGTTAGGACAATGCTCCAACTAACTAAGCCACCCATCCAGGACAAAATCCATGACTTAAATGAAACTAGCATATTTACTTTTCCTATGATACAGCGTATGAAGAATACAAAACAATGTAAATGATGATTTGGAGCACTTCCTTGATTCATGATAACATGCCAGCAATTTTACTTACCATTGCTCTTCATCATCAATGATAATGTCATTGATGAAAAACTTAAATAATATCTTTGAAGTATTATAAAAATAGTATTAACCTTGAAGACCTTTTGAAAGGTTTTGATGATCCAAGTAAACCACAAACTATACTCTGATAACCACAGAGTTAGGATAAAGGTTTAGCTGGGTATGACCAAGACCCAGAATAAACTGACATACACAAAACAGAATCGTCATTTTCACTGCTGTTAAATTTGAGTGAAGAAGGTAGCTCTGCTCAGTAAAATCATCAGGAACTCTTTCTATTTTGTGGCTTTGCCATCTTTGGGGGGTTGCCCTTTTCTGCATCGTCCAGGTTGGCTCAGCATCATGTCATCATTCCAGCTAGTGGGAAAGAGGGGAAAGGCAAGGCATACCTTCAATATCATGACCTGGAAGTTGCTCACATCACTGTCACAAATGTCTGTTGGTCACAACTTAGTCACATGACCACATCTGACTGCTAAGGAGGCTGAAGAACACACATGACACTGCTATTATTTGACCTACAACACTTTTACATCCTTATGGTTCATCCTTACAGTCTTTTTTGGTTACCACATCCTCAGCTATAAATTAAGAGGCTTTTTTTACCCTAGAAGGAGAGGGATTTCAAGGTACAACCAGCAATCTCTGTCAGTTTTTCTCAATAAAAGGAATTTAATTTAATTTTTAAGAGTTTATTCTTGATGGTGTGCATTTTATGGATTTGTACAAACATATAATGCCATGTGTCCCACCATTATAGTATCATACAGAGTATTTTCACTACCCTTCAAAATCCTCTGTACTTCACCTAGTCATTCTTTTCCCCCCATCCACTGGCAACCACTGACTGACCTTTTTACTGCCTGAAGGTTTACTTTTTCCAGAATGTCATGTAGTTGAAATTATCAAGAATGTAGCCTTTTCAGACTGGCTTCTTCCACTTGGTAATATTCATTTAAATTTCCTCCATAAATTTTTGTGTCTCAATAGCTCATTTCTCTTCAGCACTGAACAATATTCCATTCTCTAGCTATATCAGTTTATTTACTCATTCAGCTACTGAAAACATCTTGGTTGCTTCCAAGTTTTGACAATTATGAATAAAGCTGTCATGAACATCCATGTGCAGGTTTTTGTGTAGACATGAGTTATGTCTCATTTAGGTAAACACCAAAGAGTGTGATTAATAGATCATATGGTAAGAGTATATTTAGTTTTGTGAGAAACGTCCAAACTGTCTTCCCAAGTGACTATACCATTTTGCATCCTCACCAGCAATGAATGAGAGTTCCTGTTGCTCCACAACCTCACCAGCATTTGCTATTGCCCTGGATTTGGGCCATTTAATTTCATTTTTGATACAGTAAGGTATTTTTTCTCCACTTCCCACTCCTTTATCTCCCTCCAATGACTATTCAAGCTAAAATGCTAATCTTGGCACCTAACATGCAAGTAAGCATTATTTTTATCCTAATGTATAACAGTGGCATAGAAACACATAATCTGGGAAGGCAACATAAGGACATGTTATATTCAGTTTCACTGATATAAAATACAGAATAAATGGCATGTGTAGAATACAGGAAAGTCACTCTGAGGATTTATTATTGATATCTGCTGCATTCTTTAAGGAAAACTTGAGAAATCTTTTAAAATTCTAAAGCTTCTGTATGATGCGTGGGTCACTGGCCAGCAGTGATCACAGAACACTGTGGAAGGCTCGACGAAAACACGTGAGAAAAAACATGCACAGAGACAGACTAGTTTCTGTGGAGAAGTAGGGACGGAATGGCCACCCCCTCTAGTGGGGAGAGCGCTGATTTACTGTCCAAACCTGCTTTTATTGGGCTCATTTTGCATAATAATTCAAGTACAGTACTCATTACAAGGAAGTGAGGAACTATAGAAAACAAGGAGCTCTGCCGGTCTATTTTGAGTCGGGGTCAAAGAGCTGTAAGACTTTGAGGAACAAACTGACTTCCTCCTAAGACCCTTCTCGTTCAACTGAGAGCATTCTAAACAAAGAAGGTTTCACAGTAATTTACATATTCTTTCTTAGGCCTGATCACCCGGGGAATCCGCCCTTTTCAGCACAGATCCGCACCACCCTGTCATTGTTTCAGGCTTAGGTGGAGCAAGGGAACTAAGGCAACCAAGAGATAAGAAGATTTTCTCCCAGACAATGAGAACTCAGGCTATGTCAAAGCCGAGGAGCGAGGGTCCATCACCCCCTTTTGCTGCAGCCCCCAAAGTCCTTCTTTTGGGGGGCCTCCCAAAGTGATCATGCCTGTCTTAGGTCGTTCCCCCCTTGGGGAATCTTACCCATCTTTGGCTAACCGACCAAGCTTTTTGGGGTTCAGTTATGAATAAAGCAGCAGAAGCAGCATTCCTGCCAGGGAGATAAGCTTTTGTCTCCTTGCTGGCTTACGGTTCCAAGGGCATTCCCTTAGCCTTAGCCTAGGTGGGGGTTTCAGCTTCTGATACCAGGCAGGGTGGTTCCCAACATCTGTATAATGAAATAGCAGCATAATCAGTGATGAAAGACAAATAGTAATATAAACTAGGAGGAAATATTCACCAAAATATATAACAAATGAATGACTAATACATACAGTTTATATAGAGATCCTAAACCACCACAAGGAAAGATAAATAAACATAGTAGTAATGATCAAAGGATATGAACATTCAAGTGACAGAAGAAATTAAATGGCTAGTAAATAAGATGCTTAATTTCACCAATAATTTGGAAAATCCTAATATAAACAAGGTTTTCTTATTTATTAGACTAGTAAAATTAAAAAATTGAAAATCAAAGATATCTAGCATTGGTGAGAATATGGGGGAATGGATAATTCACATATTTTTGGTAAGAGCATAAATTTGCATAATACATTAGTAGGCAATTTGTCAGTAACTATTTACATTTTCACTGCATATACACTTTGACTCAGCAATTCCATTTTCAGTTATTTGTTCCAAAAATATATATATATATACCTGTGAATGTACAAGATTTGCAATTTATTTAGTAAGAGATGAAAAATCTAAATGTCTAACATTAGGGGAATGACTATGCTATGAAATTATGTCATGTCCACCCATAAGTATGTATGGGCAGAAGAAAATCTCCAAAATATATCAGAAAGTGAAAAAAAATTAATTTATGAAAGTTTGGTGATACATGGAATACATACATTAAAGTTTGTCTACAATGGTTAAGAGTAGTAAACAAATTGGAGGGTATAATAAGGAGGGGAGATTTGCTCTATGAGATATCAAGATATACTTTAGACCTAGCCAGTGTGGCTCAGTTGGAGTGTCAGCCATACACCAAAAGGCTGTGGGTTTGATTCCCGGTCAGAGAACATACCTAGCTTGTGGGTTTGATCCCCTGATCAGGCTGCATGGAAGACAACCAATCAATGTTTCTCTCTCACATCAATGTTTCTTTCTCTCTCTAACATATATATATTTTTTTAAAGATATACTTTAAGCTACAATGATCAACATAATTGCATGCCACATTGTGTTCATTCATCACTGATGATGGACACTTGGGTTGTTTACAACCTTAGCTATTGTGAATAATGCTCTATGAAGATGGGCATACAACTATCTTTTTGAGATCCTCTTTTCAATAATTTTGCATATATACCTAAAAGTAGAATTGCAGGATCATATTGTAATTCTGTTTAACTTTTTAAGGAATCATCAGGTTGTTTTCCACAATTGCTGCACTGTTTTACATTCCCACAAAATTTCTTCATACCGTTGTCAACACTTCCTATTTTCTAGCTTTGCTTGTTTGTTTGCTTTGAAAGTAGCCATCCTAATGGATATGAAATGATATCTGATTACATTTTTCATTTGTATTTCCCTAGTAGTTATGTTGAATATCTTTTCATGTGCTTCTTGTCCATTTGTATATTATAGGCACTTTGTTATGGTATAAGAAATAAGATAATGCTGATTATAATGAAGCAAATATTTAAAATACCCCTTACCAATGTAGATAAGAATAATTGTGAAATAAATAAATTGATTGATTGACTTTTTCTTTGGGCTCTAGGCATTAGGATTTTTGTCTTCTTATGGAATAGGAATGGAATATAATCAAGCCAAGGTAAGGTCATTCTATTTTTTCTGAACAAAACTGATTTTTTAAAGACACATTGAATAGGGATTCTACTCTTTAGATAAAAGGGCTCACTGTAGCACAGAGATTAAAAGCACCAGCTAAATAGTCAGAGAAGTTTAGGATTAAAATGCTGTAACTTTCTTAATGTCCCATATTCCAATTTCTTCATTAAAGGTAGATAACACTACTTCATAGGGATTTTGTGACAATTAAATAAATTTCATGTACAATGCCTTTTTGTAGGCTGCAGAGCTCAGTAAGACAGCCCACAAAATGTCAGCTGTCTTTACAGAAGAAGAGAATGAAATATGGAATTTATTTTGGAGCTCTTAAAGGTTCATTTCTGTGCTAGGAATAAAAGGGCAATGATCAGTTTGAGTTTCAAGTTTCGATTTTATATACATGTGTGTTTTTTAACTTTAGGCACTAATATATTACACCTTTGGAAGTGCTGGAGGAAGCATGATGTCCCAGATGATATTGGTTTGTAAATTAAATATTCTTGGATCCAAATATTTGTATTATTATTATAGCACTATCAGAATATTAAGAATATGTATGCCTGTGTTTTAGGGGTACAGATATTTGTCAGGAATCAATGTTCTACAGAATTGTGAAGTTGCCCTATATCATTACAAGAAAGTGGCAGAATATAGTGAGTAATCCACATAATTTATTTTAAGATAAACATACTTTCCAAGCAATTAAAAACTAAATCAATGCCAATTGACATATTTATGAAAGTATTAAAAGTGTATGCTTTTAACACCTGTTATAATACAATTCTTTTAATACAGTGTAGAGTTTTCTGATTTCTTGTACTTATTTTTCAAAAAGTTTTACATGATTGTGCTCATCTTTTATTTTTGTTATTACATGTCCCCAGACAATTATGCTTTACTTATTCTTGTTTTGTTCTTCACTTCTACTGAGAATTTGAATGTTGTATCAATAAATATTAACATTTAGAATATGAGATGACTTGTTTAAAATGCCTGTGGAAGTGGATGTAACATACATACATTGGTGATCTCTATTACTACACTTGAGAACAATTCAAGTATCCTTTGTCTACAAAAAAGAGCATGAGATTAACATACCATATTTTACTATATATAATGTTTAGTACTAAACCCATGGTTTACTACAGCACATGTATAATGCACATCCTTATTTTTCCCTCAAAAATTTGAACAAAAATGTGTATTATACACAACAAAATATGGTATATTCCTAGAATAATTTTCAAGGCTGTATGTAACATTTCGTCTTGCAACATCACTGAACCAGACTACATAATAGAATATTAAATAAAAGTCTGCCAAGAAGTGAATAAGGAGAAGTCCATTTGATTAGTTTCTATAATCAGAACAACATCTAAATATATGTTTTTGCATTATTAGGATCTGAGAAAAGAAAGGAAAATAACTACTTTTGAATTTAAGATGCTGTACATAACTATATATATATATATATATATATATATATATATATTTCAAATTGCATGCTTTATTAGGTTTATTCAAGCATAGTTATCTTTATATTTATTTTCAGATTATCCATAGGAAGTAATTAAGGAGCAGTTGTTACTCTTATATTGTAGTTTCAGTCTCCGGAAGTCAATAGTGGAAGGGGTCAGTTGCCTTCTAAAATCTGTAAAAGCTCTTTTTTTCTTGAAACTGCTTGGCCAAGATCTTTAGTAGGGTCTGATGCATGTTGATACAATATTTGTATGGGTTGCAAAGCTTTCTTGCACTTTTCTCAGAACTAAATACATTCAGCAAATTTATATCACCTGAGGATATTTCCCTTCTGTTAATAGACTAGATCTCTGCACAATTTAAAGAGAATAGGACTGACTAACAGTTTTCTCTAAGTTGACTGTTACCACTTGCAACCTGTGTATTCCGACTATTTTCTTGCTTGTTTTATTCACAGTTGCTGAAAAATTAGAAAGAAGTGAAGGTATCCCAGTGGAAAAAGTGAGACTAACTGAGATACCTGAAAATCTGCGTTCCAACAGTGGAATTCTGGATTGGGACATATATCAATACTATAAATTTTTGGCAGAAAGAGGAGATGTTCAAATACAAGTAATGTATACAGACAAGTTTAATTTTAAGAACATGCATATTATCAAGTGCTTGGTTTGTTCTGAGAACTAGAATTAAAAATTCTCCATCTTAAGTGAGAAAGGGAAGACGCAGTCTTTCCTCTTTCTCCTTTTATGACCCCTGCCATTTGCAGTTCCTATGGTTTATAGGAAAGCCAGTAATGGCAATTTTTTTACATTCACTCCTAAAAATTCATTTTTAAAAAGCCTAGATTTTAATTATAGAAGAAAGCACCATCCAATGTTGGTTTTAATATAAATGAACTTACCAGGATCTTTCTTACCAGGATCTAGACATGTTCTGTCTTTGGGAATGAGAATGGGATGGTGTGTGTATCACCTTTTAGAGTCAAGAGTTAAGGCCTCTAGGGTTATGTGCCCAGGTAGTACTGTATACAGCAGGCCACTCATTAAAGAAGTTATATGCTCAGTATCAGCAAATTACCCAATCAAAGATATAGTCTGGAATATTTCCCTGCTTCTTTTTTAAAGACATATCAACTGCATCAAAGTGAATCAATATACTATAGTAAAATCACCAAGTAAAATTTTTCTTTCCTTTATTTAAATTAATAGCACTGCTAAGATAATTTTCAAAAATCCTCTTTCCCAGGTTTCTCTTGGACAATTACATCTGATTGGGGGGAAAGGTCTAGATCAAGATTACTACGTAAGTCAATCTCGAGATTCCATCATGTGGAGTGGGAAGGGTAGTAGTGAGGAAGGATGATGGGCCAGTGAAAAAGGAAGGGGTAGTAGAAGAGTTGCTGGGGAAAGCTCACTGCTGCTTCCTTAGTCAGATTAGCTTTCCAGCTTTTGAGGAAAAACAAAGTTCACCAGAGGCAACACTTTTCCTACCTGTTTCCCAGTACAAAGATATAGAAGCTTCAGAAAGAGCAGTTGAGGCAGGGCAGTTTCCATGCTCTGAACTTTGCCTCTTTCCACCCAAACACACTTTTAGACTGAGGTGAGGGAAGAGGATACCTCCACCTGCTGGCCTTGGACATTCCCCAAAGGTCAGTGGTGGAAAGTCGACCTGGGAGTTTCCTACTAACAAGCCCGTGGACCAGCCTCAACCCCATCTGGTTAGATCAGAGGACAAACAGTTTTCAATGTAATTAGAAGTATTATTAAGCATATTGATAAATTAGTATAGTTTCTTCAATTATTTTGTTTAACCTTACCTTATCCCAATGAGGTTAGATGATTAATTAACAATTCAAATTTAGTGAAGAAAAAGCAAATAAAGTTGACTACACAGGATCCTCCTCAGTTAGATACCAGAGTCCTGGGATGAGATATCTTGTCTAGATCCTGACTGTAGATCCCCATGGATCTGGGAAAATAACTAGGATTCTTTTTTAAAGAGTTTTGCAGCCCTTGTTATTTTATAGTACCCATGTGCTCATTGTTGCAAAGAAACATACTGTATTTCAATGTGTTCCCAAAAGCTAACAGTAGAAATTACTTCATAAGGCAGTCACATAAAAGAGTTATCTATTGTTACTTTCCATCTCACTTTATTTATTTATTTTTCTTTTTTATTCTTGTTCAATTACAGTTGTCCCCATATCCCCCCATTAGTCTCCTCTGCCATACTCACCCCAACCTCCCACATTCCTACCCATTGCCTAGGTCCATGGGTTCCTTATATGTACATGTTCCCTGACTTGACCCTTCCCGTTCTTTCTCTTGTTATCCCCCACCCCCCTTCTTGTCATTGTCAGTTTGCTCTTTATTTTAATGTCTCTGGTTCTTATTGCTCACTTGTTTGTTTTATTGATTAGGTTCCACTTAAAGGTGAGATCATATGGTATTTGTCTTTCACCACCTGGCTTATTTCACTTAGCATAATGCTCTCCAGTTCCATCCATGCTGCCACAAAGGGTAGGAGTTTCTTCTTCCTTTCTGTTGTGTAGTATTCCATTGTGTAAATGTACAACAGTTTTTTGATTCACTCATTTACTGATGGGCACCTAGGTTGCTTCCACCACTTGGCTATTGTAAATTGTTTTGCTGTGAACATTGGGGTTCATAGGTTCTTTTGAATTAGTGTTTCAGGATTCTTAGGGTATAATCCCAGCTGTGGAACTGCTGAGTCAAAAGGCAGTTCCATTTTTAGTTTTTTGAGGAAATTCCATACTGCTTTCCATATTGGCTGTACCAGTCTGCATTCCAACCAAAAATGTACTAGGGTTCCCTTTTCTCCACAACCTCACCAGCACTTACTGTTTGTTGATTTGTTTATGGTATTATGTTGAGTAAGAGCGGAGAATGTGGACACCCTTGTCTTGTTCCTGATCTTAAAGGAACAACTTTTAGTTTTTGCTTATTGAATATGATGTTGGCAGTAGTTATTTTGTATATGGCCTTTATTATGTTGACTTATGCTCCCTCTATTCCCACTTTGCTGAGTGGTTTTTATAATAAATGGGTGCTGGATTTTATCAAGTGCTTTTTCTCCACCAATTGATATGATATTGTGATTTTGTCTTTTTTATTTTTGTTTTTAAATATGTTTTAATGATTATGCTATTACAGTTATCCCATTTTTGTCTCCCCTTTATTCCCCTCCACCCTGTACTCTCCCTTCCACCATCATTCCCCTACCTTAGTTCATGTCCATGGATCATATATATATAAGTTCTTTGGCTGTTCTATTTCCCATACTATTCTTAACCTCCCCCTGTCTATTTTGTACCAAATTTTATGCTTCTTATTCCCTGTACCTTTTCCCAAATTTCACCGCCCCCCCACCTTCCCACTCATCACCCTCCACGTGTTCTCCATTTCTGTGAATATGTTCCTATTAGAGTTGTTTGCTTAGTTTGTTTTTGTTTTTTTGTTTTGTTTTTTAGGTTTGGTTGTTGATAGTTATGAGTTTGTTGTTATTTTACTATTCATAGTTTTTGAGATCTTCTTTTTCTTAGATAAGTCCCTTTAACATTTCATATAAGGGCTTGGTGATGAACTCCTTTAAGTTGACCTTATCTGGGAAGCACTTTATCTGCCCTTCTATTTTAAATGATAGCTTTGCTGGACAGAGTCATCTTGGATGTAGGTAATCCTTGCCTTTCATGACTTCAAATACTTCTTTCCAGCCCCTTCTTGCCTGTAGGGTTTCTTTTGAGAAATCAGCTGGTAGTCTTATGGGAATTCCTTTCTAGGAAACTCCTTTTCTCTTGCCGCTTTTCAGATTCTCTCCTTATCTTTAATCTTGGATAGTTTAATCATGATGTGCTTTGTTGTGTGCTTCCTTGGGTCCAACTTTTTTGGGACTCTGAGCTTCCTGGACTTCCTGGAAGTCCATTTCCTTTGCCAGATTAGAAAAGTTGTCTTTCATTATGTTTTCAAATAAGTTTTAAACTTCTTGCTCTTCCTTTTCTCTTTCTGGCACCCCTGTGATTCAGATATTGAAATATTTAAAGTTGTCCCAGAGGTTCCTAAGCCTCTCTTCATTTTCTTGAATTCTTGTTTCTTCATTATGTTCTGGTTTAATGTTTATTTCTTCTTCTATACCAGATTATTGATTTGAGCCCCAGTTTCTTTCCCTTCACTATTGGTTCCCTGTATATTTTCCTTTATTTCATTTTGTAGAGCCTTCACTGCTTCCTTTATTTTGTAATCATACTCAACCATTTCTGTGAGCATCCTGATTACCAGTGTTTTGAACTCTCTATCTAATAGGTTGGCTATCTCTTCATCACTTAGTTGTATTTTTTCTGGAGCTTTGATCTGTTCTTTCATTTGGGCCATATTTTTTTTGTCTTGGCATGCCTGTTATGTAGCAAGTGGGAGAGCCTTAGGTATTTGCCAGAATGGGGCAATTCAAGTCGCTACACTGTGGCATGTATATGGGATTGGGGTCCAAGAGGGAACAATGCTGCTTGCTCAGCTTTTCACTTTCAGTCACTTCCTCTGCTTCCCACCAGCAAATTGGGCCCTTGTGGTGCTGATTCCCAGGTGGGTAGTTTTGTGTACATTCTAGGACCCTGTAGGTCTCTCCAATAAACTCTCCTGTGAGGCTGGGAATTTCTCCTGCTGCCTCAACCCCCACATGTGTTTTCAGTCAGAGATTTTGAGGATTTATTTCCCTGGGCATGAACCCTGGGTTGCATGGTCTGTCTCACTCCCCAGTTGTTTCTTCAGGTTTATCCACATGCAAATGTTGGACTTCCCAGTCCACCTGCTACCACCTCGCCTGCCTGGGTCCTCCAGCTACCACCTTACTGTGAGTCCTCTCTGCCCCAGCTACCTCTCTTTGCTCCTCCTACTGGTCTGGATGAATGTTTCTTCTTTAACTCCTTGTTGTCAGACTTTCATACATTTCGATTTTCTGGCAGTTCTGGTTATTGTTTTGTTTTTAAATTTGTTGTTCTTCTTCTTTTGGTTGTGCAAGGAGGCAAAGCGTATCTGTTACAGGGTGCAGCCAAGAGGGGGGACCCCAAATGGGCATTTGAAATGGGGTCCAGAACTTAAGGTGCCCAGGAGATTTTAAGATGTCTCCATCCCCCCCACCCAGGGTGTGGGTTGGGGGAAGGGACAAATGGAGCAGGGCCATTGAGAGCTATTTTGCATAGCAACAGCCTTGCAGCTGCCCTCTGGTGTGGTCATTTAACATATCTATAGCCTTTGTCTGGTCGCTTAGATATGTTAAATAGCTGTGGCCATGCCCTGAGCCAGGGGAATGGAAGTAACTTCCCCACCAAGAGGTGACTGGGGGCAGATCCCCCAAGCTACAGCGCCTGCGTGGGAGCTCGGAGAAGATTGGCTCCAGGACATGGGGCCACACCTGCCCAGACTCATGATGGCAGCCCAGTAAACCTGGAAGGATACGAATTCTGGCATGTGAAGCCGAGTGTGGGAGGAGTCGGAAATGAGGCTGCAGAGGAAGATTGGCCTCGAGGATTTAAAACCCAGACTTGGCGGCCATTAGGTGGGAGAACCATGCTGCTTTAGGAAGGAGTGCCATGCGTAGCCCTGAGGAGGAGAGCCATGCACAGCCCTGAGAAGGGGAGAACCATGCGTCTTTAGCAGAGTGGAGACTCCCGCATCCCAGAGAGAGAGAACCATGTGGCTTTAGCCGAATGGGGAGGACCTCGGCCATTGAGAGGAGGGAGAACCATGCTGCTTTAGGAAGGTGAACCCTGCGCAGCCCTGAGAGGGAGAGAACCATGTGGCTGTGGAGGTGCAGAGAGGATCACGGCCATTGCAAAAAGAGAACCACGTGGCTTTGGCAGAGTGGGGACTCCCCCTTCCCGCAGCCCTGAGGAGGAGAACCACGTGGCCTTGACAGAGTGGAGACTCCCGTGGCCCTGGGAAAGAGGACCACGTGCCTGTGCCAGAGTGGGGACCCCTGCAGCTTTAGAAGGGGGAACCACCACCTGGTTTTAGCAGAGATCCTGGCGACTCAGAGGAGGGTGCCGGGAACCCAGGGAGGTCTCCCAGTCGAGATGGAGGACTAACTGGGAAGAACCAGAGGACTGCCTGAGCCATGGACTTCTATTTCCTTTCCTGAGATACGGTACTCTGGACTGGGCAAAGGGGGGAAGGAAGGAAGGACTGTGTCTGTTTGTGGGTGTTTTAAGGGACTTTGGGATTTTTGATAAAGACATTAGGTCACTACTTTAAGTTAGTATAGCATTAAATAAACATTTCCTTTCCTTTTCA